CTCTACCACTTGAGCCACAGCACTACTTCCGGCTTTTTTCTTTTTGCTTATGTGGTGCTGAGGAATGGAACCCAGGGCCTCAGGCATGCAAGGCAAGCACTCTACCACTGAGCCGCCTTCCCAACCCCACCTGTGGTAATTCTTATGACAGCAGAATAGACTAAATCACCAGCTGTACAGAGTTTCCCTTTCTCTTTCTCCTGGAAAAAAGTTGGTGAGTCCCCAACAATGTTCAGTGTGTAACTTTCTGGACTGGCTGGCACCCATTTAATTAATCAAGTTAATTTAATAAAAAGAAAAAATGTAAAGTTAATTCCAATTCCTATATAGAATAGTTCTCAGTATCTATTGATGAATTAAATACAAACCTGCCTAGTATCCAGACTATAATGATAAGAGGAGAGTTTGTAATGATACAATATAATAAACATGTTTTGAGCCTTACGGGTTATATCTTAAGGAATGGTTTAAATTCTAGAACTAGACTGTAAACCTAATAGTCTCTTGTAATTTTCATTATTATTATCTCTATTTCACATATACCTGAAGAGGGTTGTAGAACTGGAATGTGGAAATCCTACAGAACAAGTCTGCCACTTGTTAATTTTGTGGCCTTGGGCAAATCCTTCCTTGCTTTATTTTGTCAGGTTACTGTTACTCTTTTGGTTATTAGGATATATATTGTAGAATTTTGTAAAATTGCCTAGAGCCTGGCAGATAATACACACTCAGACAAAATTAGCTGGACCTATTATTCCTAAAAGGCAGAATGCTAGACTACAGCACAGAGGTTCAGTGCTTGCATAGCATACTTAAGGCTTTGGGTTTAACCCACAGTATTTGGAAAAGGAAAAAAAAAAAGATGGTGAGAGAGGGAGGAGCAGAAGGCTGTAGTATATGTCCTGTGAACTTTACGGGGTTTCTGTATGGATCATATAAGTCAATGTTTTTATTGTTGTTTAAGCAGATTTTGCTAGACAGTATCTATTGTTTTTTACTTGGTTATTTGTATTGATGGGTTTCTGAAGGATGCTTCTGGAAGTAACAATTTTACAGGGTAATGGCTTTGGGAAGTACCCATGGTCTGAATATCAACCAGTGAAAACAAATAGTAAAAAACACATTAGCAATGAATTTATCTTCAGTGAAGAGTCTCTTCCAATACTGGTTCATAAGATATAGAAATGAGGATATCAACTCTTACATAATAGATGCACCTAAATATGGATATGTATATATAGTGATCTATTCTTGGGATGCTTATTATAACTTATGTAATATCATTTGGTCCATTATTTTAATTTTTGACAGTTAGAAATTGCTTTAGTCTGAAAAGAAGGAACCAGAGTTATCTTTCCACTGCCTGGATCTTGCAGTCTGCTCCAGCCAGTTTAGATTCCTGGTGACTCAAGGAAGATAACCTACCACCTGACCCTTTACTGCTGTAAACATTTGTCTCAGAACAAGCTTAAGTGTCTCTTGGGCTGGCTTGAAGTATACATATTTAAAGTCTGACAGAGTGCATGTCTCTTCATTTACCTAGTGAAAATTACTATGGGTTTTCATCACAAATCAGAGTATCCTACAATTGTGAAGCTGACTTCCAAAATAATATTAGGGATCATTTTTAATGGGAAGAGCACATGCAAAATATGGCTCCCTCAGTTCCTGGGCTTACATCAAATGTTGAATATCTATGTTTTCCAGCTAAAAATATTATTCAGAGAAAGCCATGACATTTTATGGTTCTCTAGAGCTCTGTACATTTGTGTGGCTCTCTCTCCATTCTACATTTCTCTTTAAGATAAATCTCCCCAGGGGTAGAGCTAAACTGATTGCTTTTACTATCTTCTGTATGGTGATAAATGTTCCTAGATCGAGACTCCCCTTCCTCCAGCTCTAAAGCCCTCAAATATCAGCCAGACTTAGAATTTCTCTAATTATTCAAATCACATTTCACATATGAAATATGTTCCTAAATTTAAAACCTAGTTATCAATTTTAAACATGGTGATATTGATGACACCACAGTAAAATGAAAAAAGTACTCAGCTCTCTAGAACCAGTAAGTAATGTATAACACTACACATTTTTTTCCAGCAAATTTAGATACTAGCCAATTTATTCTTTGTGAATTCTCTCCAGAGTTTGGGATGGTATAAATAATTATTTCATCTTGAGATTCATGATATCAATGCTTACATTTCTTTCCCCAAGAGTGGAAGAGAGAG